TGCTTCAGTTGGCTCCGTGTTGCTGTGTTCGGTTCGGTTTACTTTTTTATCAAGCTCGACAGTCCGTTTTGTAATACATCCGGCAAATATACGGGCAAATGTACGAGCAAATACAAGCACTCCCCGGGCACACACAATTACACAAATATTTATGACCCTGCTGCTGTGTGTTATCACTAGGTACTTGGCGATAACAGCTCAACAAGTTCTAATGGGATTGCCACAAGGCTTCGCAGCAGGTGTCTGTGGGCTTATGCAGTTAAAACTGGTCGAAATTGACGTCACCGATGCAGTTTAAACCAGTCTCGGCCAATTGACGTCATCGTTTTTGACTATCTTTTGATTAGAATGAACCAAAAGAAAAGAAATCGAAATTACCAAGGTTTTTGTGAAAATATTCAATTTCAGATATGAGAAACAAAAATTTTAATCTAATTGACTTCTTTATTCAGTCATTAACGTCATAGTCTTGACTATCTGAAAACCTACATTTTATTATCTCATAATGACATGTTATTAAAATATCAACAATTCAATAAAAAAAGTTTAATGGCACCTAGAAATTAAAGTCATACAGATAATGGCAAGTTGATTAGTAATATTTTATACAACTTTAAACTAATTTTTTTTGAGAACAATTTATTAGCCGGGTTACCACACAAAAATAGTGTATGTATACACATCAATGCAACTATCTCGGTCCCACTATTGCCCTCTGTCTCTCTCTTTTTCCTTGCCTTTAATCGATTAAGTTACGATAAATCAATCAGTGCAGTAAGAAAAACCCCATTTATATCGAAACATAAGTTAGTGTTAATTTCCACCATTACGTAAATAAATTTTCGATTTATGTTAGTTTATTTTTCAACCGTTGTGTTTTTTTGTGTTCTGTGTGTAAATGTGTTTTATTAGCCTCCCTCCTCTAATCCCCATAAAGAAAATTGCCCAAAGCATATAAGCATTTCGACTAGATAAATTCCAACATTGATATATATGTTTGCAACTTGGCGCTGAAATCAAATAATCGATCGCAACTTTTCAATAAATACCATAAACGGGAAAAACACATATAATATAAGTCATCGCATAAACATTTATAATATTAGGATGTATTGATGATCGTTTTTTGTTTATCCTTTTTTGCGTTGAATTTCTGTTTGATTTTATGATTTTTAATCGTTTACACTGGTCAACGGAATTTAGTCACACTACTTGAAACTACTGATTCCTATAATGTTTTTTGCAGCAGTTTTATATACTAAAAAAAAAATCAAAACTGCGAAAAAAAAATGTCATTACAATCACTAGTGTTAAAACAATCATAGAGGTGGAGCCGCAGAGATCTTATAAAAAGTGTGCTGTGAAAAGTTATATCAGGAATAAGTAAATAACTTCCTACTTTTTCATTACTTTTAAGTGATTACAAATCAATTGAGATGTCTGCGGTACCCCATTTCTATTTTTTTTTAAACAAGCACCTTTCTTAGACTAATTATAAGTTCATTGTGTGACCCTTGAACCCTATACCAACGTTCGCTTTCTGTTGTGGAAGCAGCCAACGACGTGAGCGAGGAGTCCACAGAGTTTGGGGCGCCGCCGGTCGTCTACTATGGCGACTCCAATGTGAACTTGGGTCAGCCCTTCTCGATCACCTGCATTATACCGATCACCGAGCAGATCCATTGGATCAAGAACGGAGAGCCGATCACAAGGCACAATCTGCGGCACGGGCGCGATGATCATGCCTACGCTCTGTCGGAAAGTGCAATCGAGGGTGAGTATTTTGGCGAAGAAGTTAGTTCCGGAGGAGTTGAAGATTCCACCACTCATCTGGTCATCTGTTGCTCCCGCTAAAGGTGAGAAGCACAAGATTGAGGCGCATTTGAGAGTGCGGCATGCCCTCAAGGTGCACGAGGGTCGCTACCAGTGCAACCATCGCCACAGCACCTACCACATGCTGCACGTGCGGGATGCCAAGGGAGCAGGAGCGGGAACGGGCGAACCCACCGAGTCCGGATATCAAACCATCGACGAACTGACGCCAAACTCGGCGGATGACTTCTTCACACGAACGTGGCTGGAGCAGCAGCAGCAGCAGCAGCAGCAACAGTTGCCCCACCAGTCACACAAGCAGCACAAGTCGCATTTGGGCTATGGAAACGTCAGCCTCTCCGGATCTCAGCCCTGGCATCCCTCGGCGGGGGGAGGTGGAAGCAGCGGCGGTATCCATCGCGTTTACTCGGCCACACCGCCGGACTTTCCACCACCGCGTTTCAATCAGCTTGAGCACACGGTGGCGCCGCCAGAGCCACCCACTATACTGTACAATCAGACGAATCCCACTGCCAGCGCCACTGCCACGGAGGCCAGCCTGCTCCTGACGACGGCGCACCACCATGCCCACCACCAGCAACAGTTGCAGCAGCAGGCGCAGCACACACTGAACGCCTTCCAGTTGCCGCTGCCGCCACGGCCCAATCCTGGCCAGAATGAGCGCTACCAGACCTATGCACCGCACTATGTGCCGCCAGTGGTGGGATCAGGACGTGAGCTGACCACCATTCCAGCAGCCACCAGCACAAAGGCCATGATGGGTGGTGTTGGTGGTGGTGGTGGTGGTGGTGGAGTTCCTGCGGGTGCCAGTGCCCCAATTATGGCTGCTGGTGCTGGTGACCACATGCTGATGGGTGGCCAGGCGCATCAGGTGCATCTGCAGCACCAGACGCTCTTGCCCGTCAAGATGGGTGAGCCACACACACACACACACAAAACACACACACAAAACACACACAATCATGAAACACTCACAAAAACCTCTTATTAAAGTTCAACTTGTATATGCCCACTTTGTTGTTGTTCGTTTTATGGCTTTTATCTCGCTCGCGCCGATCGAAATTGCCATTGTAATTTGTTATCGTACCGAAAACTACAGCCTTGCTCCCATTTTCAATAGCTTTTTTGATTATTGCTATGGATATTGATATTTTGACAATATCAACAACATCGATAATCCCAGCGTGACTTTTTATAAAACTAACAATAAAATAAAAGAGAATGTTTTATACTTTCACTTAATGTAACAGTTTTTTTTTATAGAAATTCAACCCAAAAATAATTTATTAAATAATTTTGTTTAACTTTTTAAATATCTAGAAAGTATATTTTTTACAGGATACTTTTAAAGCGATTTCAAATCTCTCGATTTTACAATTGGCGATATGCGAAATTAAAAATGGGATCAGGGTCAAGTGTTCGCCCACCCCACCCACTCGCTCTGTCTCTTTTGAACTGCATCTGATCTAAGCTGCGGCGCCACCCCACCCCACTCCACCCTCTCGCTCTCTCCTCATTAGCCCGCTCGCTTGCTCTCTCCATTGCGTCTCTTACCATTGCATCAACCTCGCTAGTCTAATTTTGGTGTTGTTGGTTTTTAATTAAACGTTAATCGCTCGTCTAGATAACTCGCCTTCTCGCTCGCTCCCACTCAATGTGACCTTGACAAGCTCGCCGTTGACTCTCTCGCTCTCACTCTCGCTCATACACACATACACACCCCACACACCCACATATTCACATATGGTCACACCTTTAAGTTAAGCTTGAGTTGTTTGCCTGAACTTTTGTATCATTTCCGCTCTTTCTTTGTCTTTTGCGATTACCTTTCTCTTGATTTCATTTGTTGCCCTATATTGTCTTTACATCTTTGTTTTTCCTTTGGCTTTCTTAGACTTTTATAGTCTTTTCCTCCTGTAAACAACAAATGTTATGGGTCAATTTGATTTTATTTTATACAAAAAAAATTTCAAGATTATAGTTTAGTTGTAAATATGAAGTGACTTTTAACCTTTTAAATTTCAAAAAACTTAGTTTAAAATTTGTAATCTTAGAAAAGGTTAAGTTATCTTTAATTTTCAAAAAGTTTTAATTGACCAGGATTTATCTGCTTGACATTTTCACATATTTTTTTGTGTGTCTTGATTTTCTTTGGTTCTTCCTTTTTAACGCTTTGGTTGTTTACTCTGATTGTCGAACACACAGATGGCAGGTGCATCGATTTCGATTTCAATTGCGATTTCGATTCCGATTCGAATTTGATTGGCAGCCAGTTTTGCGATGACGCATAAAGTTTACAATTGGCAGCGTTTGGCTTACGAGCTGATTATATTCAATCAGACTGCAAGATAAGGCGGAAAAACAACACGTGGCGTGCCGCTGATTCTCCTTCTCTCGCTTTCTTGCTTTTTTTGCTTGCGATTCTTGTCAATCGAGCTGTCGATAGTTCGAGAATCGACCTTAATGTTCTATGTATCGCATTTTGTATATCGATAAACATAAATTTAATTACTTTTGCTCTATTTTACATTGCAGCTATCTTAACCGATAAATTAATCAACTATACATACCAAACTAATCAAACATAAACGTAAATAATCATAGTAATCTTAATTCATATGCAGCGTAAAATGAAGTTTATTTGATTTCAGTCCAAGTTTCGAAATAGTACGAAAATGTGTTTTATACCATAAAAGATGAATAAAATTCGATTGACCAAATTGTATGCTCTTTTGTTTTATTTATACGTATTCTTAAGTTTTAGTTTTAGTTTTAGTTTTACGAATATTCTTCTTTTTTTTGCTCCACCTTTATTTTGATATTAGTGATTTGTGTGTTGCTAATTCATCATTACTCTCCTAAGCAATTTAGTCAGTATTCAAAACCGAATTTCAAGCTCTCATCTCTCAGCCAAAAAAAAAAAAATATCCAAACCAAAAACCTCAGATATCTCTCAAAAAAGCTCCACCAAAAACCTCTCATACTTTAAGCTCGTTCTCAATTTATTCCTATAAGCAAATATATTTATCTTTACATACAAGTTATTAGAATAAACTTTGTTTAAGCAGTTCTTTATGTAAACGTTTTCTCGTATCCCAACATTAGAATGCCATCCCGCCCCTGCCAATATTTGACTAATCTATTTTATGTATCTATACCATCTCCAGATAAGCTGGTGCCAAACTATGATAATATCGAGCATCAAATGAAATTTTACGACATCAAAACGCCGCTGGTTCTCAGCTGCAACGTGAAAGAAGATACGTCGAGCGTTCTTATATGGTAAGTCATTCCGAATCACCCCCTCACACTCAGGGGAATGTTGAGACGCAGGGTGGCTTTATATTTGTGTCTGTGTCCCACATAGTTAGTAGTTATAAGAGCAATCATTTTAATACGGCACAGCTAAGCACTTTTGCTTAATTATGTTGGCCTGACTGCCTAACTGACTGCCTGACTGACGTAACCTGGCAACCGAAACAAGAACGAAGCTTCGAACACACTGCAAAAAATGTTATTCGAAGGACAAGATGTCTAAGTGAAGTCCAGTCAATAAATGCCAATAGACAACATTTAATATTTAGAAGTATTTTTCAGTAACCGTATCTATTTTTCCCAAACATAAAGAGATTTCTGTAGCATCTCCCTCCAAATTTGTTTCAAAAACCCAGATAGTTAAACTTATTAAGAACTCCGATCTGATTTCTTAGTTTTTGGCGGTTTATTTATAGCTGAAAGAGAGCTTTTCTAAAAAGGGAAAGTTTTCTTTATAATAAGCATACCTTCTGCAAGAGCACAATAAGGTGCCATTTGTGCGAATTTGTACGGTTGAGTGGGGTCTGTTGGCTGGCACTTTTGAGGGGCGGTGGTTACTGAAAAGTGCCTTCCTGTCTGGGACCGGTTAGTGTTTGGTAGTTGGAGCTCGGAGCTCTGCGGCAGGGTCTTGTAATGGTAATGACACTTTTGTTCATTCCGGGACCTGTCCGAGTCCCTGGTTCTCGTGCTCGTTCTCGTTCACGTACTCGTACTTGTTCTTGTTCTGGGGCCAGGGCCAAACTTTGCGTGTGCTTCGCTTTGGAATTAGTCTTTGAATAATTGGCAAAAGGCGTAGAGAACGGCGGAAGGCCAGGAGAAAGTTCGTTCCTCAAGTAGGTGCAGCCGGGCTATTCGGCGATAACTGTAGAATTCATTTAGATAAATGAGTTTTTTTTGCTAGCAAATATCTACAGAGAAAAAAGAGAACAAGTACTAGCTACAGCATACATTTCAAGTAATAGGTTTTATAACTATAATAGAACTTTACATTAAACCTGATGAAATGGTATACTTGCTTTTTAGGAACTAATAATGAATCGTAGGAGACTTTCTCGGTTTTTTCTAGTGGTAAACCCATTGAATCCATTACTAGTTCAAGTGAAATTTGGTTCGGCTTAATTGGCTAAGATGACCGGGCGGAGACCAACACTAGTATTAGACCCAAAACCATTTGTCACCAAACTAATCTCTGTCCTTATTTTTTTTGGCGAACAGGAAAAAGAACGGCACCGCTGTGACGGAGGTGCCTTCGCTAAAGGGTCGCTTTAAGATAATCGCAGCCGAGAATAAGTTCATCATCGACAAGACGGATGTAAGCGATGATGGCGATTACAGTTGCGAGATCGACGGAGAGTCCAAGATAATCAAAGTGATTGGTAAGTCGTCGTGAGACGTCTTCAGCAACCAAAGACCCCAATTGATTGATATCCCCTTTTATCGTATGCAGCCCGCGTTGTTGTAAGAGTGCCTTCAAATACAGCCGTTGTGGAGGGAGAGAAGATGTCGGTGACTTGCACCGTTGTGGGTACCGCACCACAGTTGATATGGACTTTTGGTGAGTTTTTCTTTTTCAAACACCCCTCCAAGAAATAAGATTTAACTCGATTGCATTCCTTTCCGCAGGCAATGTAACGCTGACAAACTCAACGGATCGCTTCGTCCTCAAACCAGAAAACAATGTCCCCAACGCCATTCTGACACTGGACAATGTGACATTGCAAGACAGAGGCGAGTACAAATGCATTGGACGCAATGCGGCCAATGACTATGGTGTGAACGGCACCAGCACTGCTCCTGCCAGCGACTTCACAACTGTGCGTGTTAAGGGTAAGTTTCCGTCGGATGGGAGTGCCGCCTAAGCTCCCATTAATGTTCGCCGAAAAACCTTGGTCGCCATTCCTCGTCCGAATCTGTAGGCTATAATCGTTTAGACTACAAAGTGCTTTCCAAATTAAATTGTTAGAGCCAGCCAAGCCCCATGTCTATACTTATTAGGTTTCGGATACTAAATGTAAATATTTATTGTTAGAAATTGACATTAAAAACAAATAATCTTATAATTATACATACAATTCAATTTAAATTGATAATAAAATTAAAATGCGTTTTTATAATATTTCTTAAATTTGTTTTCTAATATAAAAATTTGTTTTTCAAAAAGTTTTTAATTTTTAGTCATCTCGCTTTCAGTTAACTACAAAAAAACTGATACGAAGCTAATTTTTTTTTGTAATATATCCTAATGAAAACATTATTTTTAACGTCAATTATGATAGAATGATTGTTTTCTAAAAAGCTAAAACTGAGATTATTTTGGTTACCAATTCATATTTACTTGTATTTGCCTGTTCAGATGGTTAGTAATCTTTTTAAATACAAATTTAGCAAAATTCAACCAAAATAGACGAAGTTTTGCGACCTTGTTTAACCGGTTATCCAAAGTAAAACACTTTTAAAATATATTACTTTCTTCTCTGTAGGCAAATTTGCCGCCTTGTGGCCTTTCCTGGGCATCTGTGCTGAGGTGCTGATTCTGTGCATCATCATTCTCATCTATGAGAAGCGACGCAACAAGAGCGAACTGGAGGAGAGTGATACTGATCCTCAAGAACAGTAAGTGTGCCAACTCTCCAACCCAACACACCAATCAACCAACCTACCAACCAATCAACACCACAACAAACAAAAAACCAACAACATAAACTGTCAACACCAAATAATATTAAACATCAGCAAACAAACAAAAACAAACAAACAAAAAACAACAACCGAAACGCAGCAGAAGAGGAAAAAAGTTGAAATTTTAGTTTTATACTGCAAATTAAAGACGTTGAAGCTGCAGGCAAATGCAAATGCGAATGCAGACCAGACACACCAACATAACCATACGGAAACGGATAACAGATACAGATACATATACATATACAAATACAGATACAAATACAGATACGGAGAAGCAACGTACTTACGGACGGACAAACAAACGGACGGAGGAGCAGCAGCTACAACAATTAGTGAAATTTTCTTAGTTAACAATTTCTAATAGTTACCACAATGGAAAAAAAGAAGGAAAATTAATGAATTTTTGTGTTTGACGCAAGCGACGGATACGCAATAAAATGAAAAGTTAAAGGTTAAGAAATTATATAGTTTTTGCTAATTTTGTATTATAATGAAGTCCATTGTGCCTGGAGTGTCGCAAGGAAAATAATGAAATATCGAGACCCAGAGAAGTGAAATGAAGAGAGTGAACACAAAAAGCTTAACTTTTAGGTTTCTACCTTTTTCGATGTGTGCTAAGCGAATGCAAATATATTCCTGATCCGTATATTTGTTTCGCCCAAAACTCTGACAAACACAAAACGGAAACGGAAACACAAAACGAACGCACACAGACACAACTCATTCACACCAACACACCCGAGAGTTAAAACACAATATGTAGTTCTCTAGATATAAATATGATAAATTTAATTCATCGTAAATATGCCTTTTAATTTCTTTGCCTTATTCAAATCGAAAAATCGTTTTTTCGCTGTGCTTGTCTCTGTTGCTTAAAAAATAAACTACAAACAAAACTTAATGAAAAATAATTACACATAAACGAAACCTTTCTTTTTATGTTAAAGTCCAGTCCATAATATTATTATTATTATCATGTAAAGGAATACGACAAGAAAATGTTATCAACTTTCTTTTTAAGTACTTATTGTTTAATTATATACATTAAAAAGAAAACCACATTTAAAAAAAAAAAACACAAAAACACCGTAAGCGAAGCAAAAGTTTTTATTTTGCTTTGGAGGAATACAAAACAGAATTAATCGTTACTTATGTATATTATAAATCACTATATAAGCTTATTAATTTCTTGGCAGTGAATCAAACATACACACGAAAACAGAAATCGTAGCTCAACACTTTCGCATTGATTTGGAATTATAATTAGAATTATTTGTATATTGTACACAAAAGAGTATTTTCCCCTACCCAAAAGCCCCTCAGCCCCAAACCTCTAGTTTGCGCACTTTATGTTTTTTGTCGCCTCTGTTGATTTTGCCGTGTATAAACTTGAAAACTTGAATGATTTTGATTCTTTGTATCCTAGTATCTAAACACTTGTGCTATTCTTTACCGATTACAACTATCCATTATGATTTTGTGCGTTTTGAGATTGATTTCTACCGAAATATAAAACAAACAACAACAAAAAATACAATTGTAAATTAAACAAAAAGAAAAAATATAAAAAAAAATAAACAAAAAAAGAACAAAACCAAACAATATGCATTTTTATTATTTTCTCTATCTTTTACGTAGTGCTGTCCTATCTACATATTTGTTTTCTTAGATCCTGGTTTTTTGCTTGCCTGCGCCTGTCTGAAATGGGAGAAATATCCCCCAGTGAATATTCGTTTTATTTCTTAACATTTTTCGTTGCTGATTGACTTTTGATTTGCTGTTCTAGACTTCTGGTATCTTTGAGTGATTCGTCGTAGCCGATAATCATGGAAAGCTAATCAAATGTATCTTCCATTCTTTTCTTATTTTCCCATAACTATTGTCGAATAAACCAACATTTGTTTTGAGTAGTTGATCAAGTTCGCTCTCTAGTTGAAACTAAATTGAATGAGAAATCCTAAAATAAAAAACAGAATATATGTGGGAGAACCTGCCGCTTGATTCGATCAATTGATTGGTTGACTGTTTTCTGCAATCATCATTAAAAAAAAAAAAAACCAAAAACCACTACTTAAAACCAAAAAAACTAACCCAAAAATAAACCTCGCCCTCGATCAAATCTCCATGAACCCGCCTTGACTAACCAAATCTGATCCAAAAGTGCCCAGCGTCAACTAACATCAACAACAACAACAACAACAAAACTCCAAAACAACAATCACTGCAATAATTTACCAAAATAGTAACAATAAATATTAGCAATCTGAACAGCAATAGCTGCATCTACGGCATCTGCAACAGCAACAACCAACAGTAGCCTAATTTTCCTACTAACAAACGATTTATTATTTATTTATAATTTGTATTGAAGCATAGCCAAGTTTATTGATTAATTAATTGATTCGCTCTCCCTATCAATATCTATTTCTGAACTCGACATTTTCCTTTGACTTATTTTTTCGAATTTCTTGTTGAAATCCCCAATCCAATCACAAGAACATGAGCAACCACAACCCAAGACCACCAAAACTAATTCAAGTGATTTTCGCAATTTATTCTTTATTGCAGGAAAAAGAAAAGGAGAAATTATGATTAAAATTCCTAGGCAAAAGAAAGAACACACCGTATAAAGAATAACAAGTAAAACCATTTAAATATGAGCAAAAACCAGTAACAGAAAGTAAAATGCATTAAAACATTACATTAACTAAACTTTATAAAACTAGCAAAATCGAGAATGGTAATGAAACCGAAATATGGAAAAACAGTCACAAGAGAAAAAGTTGTGTATCCCACACCCTCCTGTACCCCTGCCCCACTGTACCACTATCCCTTCCCCAGCAAAACTGCAGAACTTTGTTTAGCAAAATTGTATTTTATTAAAGAAAGATAAAACAAAAGCAAACAATTAATATTAAAAACAAAAGGAAACCGAAGTAAAGCTAAAATAATATTAAAATGGAAAGTGATAGCAGTTAAACGAACACTAATAAGAGAATATGGATAAACGATGGCAAAATAAAGGAACTTTAGCAATTAACCTTAAAGTGAAGCGTTAACTCCAAAGCAAAACAAAAAGTCGCACATGCCACTCCCTTCCCCACGCACCCTCCACCTGAACAACAGAATATAGTATTGTACATAACAAAAAAAAAAAAAAAACAACAACAATTGAGAAACGCTGAAGAAGCAGGCAATTCTTCTGTCTCTGCCTGACTCACTGTAGAAGCAAGCTAAAGCCAAGGCTCTGTCTCTCTCTTTCCTAGCAAGAGGACTCTTTATACAACTATGATTTTTTAGGTAGCCATATTTTGAGGTTAGTTTTTAGTTCAAAACGGAACTTAAAAAAAAAACAAAAAGAAATCAGATGAAGCGAAGCGGCAACAACAGCAACCACATTTGAGAGGACAGAAGATGGAGATGGAGAAACATGATGACATGGGAAAGCGATTGAAAACGACGATATTGAAAGAACTTTGTTTATTAATCTTAGTTAATATATGTATATGATATATTGACAAACTGAAGATGAACTTTTAAAACAATTAAGTAGCGCGTTATGAGTATATTTTTAAAGGATTAATACCACAACTAGTAGCTGATGACGGAAGGAAAGTAGACGAGGGACGAATCGTTGGAAGCGAGAACATTGTATATTGCATAATTTTAGGAGGAAAGGATGGAAATAAATCAGATGCGTACTGCCAAAACTTGTAAAGTTCAGTACTATTTGCTTAGCCTCATTTTTGGTAAACAAAAACTAAAAAACCAAAATCAAAACACACTAAGAACAAAAACAAAAATAAATGAAATCATAAGCTCTGTTAATTCATTTCTGTTGTTGTTAATTTCGGTTGTTTATGTATAATGTATGTGTATAAAAATCGAAATGCGAAAGAACTAAGAACTAAAGCGGTCTTCAATTCACATCTTAACTCGTAATCATATAGAAATCGTATATATATATATATATATATATGTACAAATATGTATATGTAAAAATTTGTATATCTTTTTTTTTCAGTTGATTTTCTCGTTTACGTAAACTTTTCGTTGTTGATTTTTTAGCCGCCACCAAAGCTTTAAATATTTACATAGTAAACTGTGTTCTCAGCAAAACGATGAAAATTAATGAAATAAAATTATGTTAAATGACACAAAAACAAGACGATTTGTATAGTAAACTAAATGAGCATAATAAACAGAACCCTTGATAAACAAAAAAAAACTAACAACTAAACGTTCTTGTTATATATATAAATAAAGAATATATATATATATAATTGCTATATATATAGATCACGTGTGTGTGTGTGCATGTTCGATTACATAGTTATATACATATGCGATGAAATACAAAAATAGAGGATGAAGGGAAAGGTAAATAATAGCCTAGAGAGGAGACTTTTTGGAAACCGTCGATAAATTCTCGTGCATAAGTTTTTTATTCATGTACAATTGTTGTACAGTTTTTGTGGCTTATTTGTGTATAACAACTATTAATGACAACAACTACTACTTATATTATAATTGATCTATTATGCTTAACTGTACATTAAACTGAACCCCTACTTCACCATTTCATTGTATCTCTAGACTCCTCTTTTTTATTTTTTTTAAATTTATGGGCTTGGTTCCATTCGACCGATTCCCCATCGAACTTTCTCTCTTTCGACCAAAAAACCCCCTTAGAAAACAGACATCCTTGAACCTATTTGAACTGAAAAGTAAACCCACAACAAGAAGGAGAAGACGAACAACAACAACAGCTACGATACCTATTTACTGCTATATTGTATGACGTAATGTTACCCACAACAACATGAACAACTAAACCATACACACGTAACTAACTTTAAAGCAAACCAAACCAAAATCAACTTCGGAACACTCGTCGACTATGCTATATATACAACATACTAACGAAAAAGATGCAACAAACGGAAACTATACATACTTATAAAATATATACACTTATATACAAACAACCACATACGCAGTATTGTATGTCTTTTTGTACAGAAAACAAACGACAAACTAAGCCTGACAACAAACAAATCGTGTATCCTAACTACAACTCCTCAGATAGAACATATGACTCCTCCACAGCAATCCCATTACAATTCCCATTTCCATTTCAACTTCTCCACTATCTCATTTACTGGTCATCCCCCCATCACCATCCATGGTTTACCCATCAATTGTTGCTAAACTATCGAACAATATAATCAACAAAAGCAGAATTTCTTGGCACACACTTTTGACTCTCACGCGTTAGTCGCTTCACGAGTAGAGCCGCTAAATGTGAACATCAGACGAAGCTCTAGTTAAGTTACAAGAAGGAACCTTATATATATTATATATATAACATATACATAAATAATATTAATAATTACACGTACTTTTAATTAGTCGAATAAGCCAAATGTTGAGGAAAAAAATCACAAGCCGAAACGAAAGCTAAGACTAAACATAAGCCTGAAAAACGGTTCACATCGGTTCTCCCAAAAAAATGGGGAAACCAAAAATTAGTTAAAGCTTAAATTGAAAAGTTAGGTTCAAAATTCAGGAAGGTCCTTGGGTTTTTTATTATATTTTATATTGTTTTATTTTTACGGAGTGAATATACAAGCTATAGAGCTTGGAATATTAAATCACAACTGTCTCTCTTCGAATTCCCATACAGTGCGTTTCGGAGCTGTAAAACGCTAGTTGCCCCCAAAGATAAACTATACACAATGGGAACTAACGATTTCCAGACACTTGTTATGGCATTTAAAACATTTGCAGAACCAAAACACATTGTACGCGAAATCAGAGCCAAATTTATGTTGATTCAAAAATATACTTTTTTGGGCGAATTTCACTGGCAAGTCACACATTTTGTATGAATTCCAGCTCAAAGATGGAGCTAGCTTCCGATAGAGCAGGAAATGAGGATATATGATGGTGGAGGATTCAACAGCCGGCCAGGCTGAGATTCCGGCGAAGCGAACCCGTAAAAACCTAACTTTGTTTTCCGCAGGCGCCCGGAGTAGTGTAAAAAATTGAAACTGTAGGAGACACTGTAGGAAAACAAATAATTGCCTTAGGGTTTCAGTAGAAATAAAACAAAACATTAAGAAATAATTTACCTTTTAAATCATTTCCCTTATCGGCGACTTTGAGCAAAACGTGTGACTTGGCCTTAAAATGGGGGTGTGACATCAGCCACTCCATAAACATAAACTCAGTTAGAAGAACTACGGGTAAACACTGCTCGCCATAAAAACCAGGAACCCAAAGCAGTAAAATATTCTGTAATCCAAGCTAGTAACCGAATGTCACACAAAACACACACATAGGGCGGCGAAAGCGAATGGAATCCTTCCCCGATGTGCTAGATATATAGCATATTTATAGCAGATATAGGATAGCTAACCGCATAAGCCTTTAGGGGAGCTAGAAATGAAAACCAATTAAGTGCCAGCCCCCGCCTCTCCCCTCCACAGACTTTGCCGTATGATAACCAAATAGAACTCGATACCAGTTACCAGATACCGTTACCGATACCAGAGAATTCCG